AATGTTTTAAATGTCAAAGTGACAGCTTTGAAGAGAATCTTGTTATGGTTTTCCAACCCACAGGAGGAACACCCCATTAATATTCTGCTTAATGTTGTAAGGATCACATGGATAATTTATCTCAAATTTGGTTTAAAGTATCACATTCATTTTTGGATAACTGACTGCACTGGAGGTGAAGATAATCTGGCAGCATTTTTGTATAGAAGTCAGTAAATTCCATCTTATGTTACCAGAGTAATATAACAAATAATAATGATTTGCAATTTTCATATTAGTTTGACAATTTTGCCCTGAACAGCATTTTATACCCGAAAACACTTCCCAACAACCAATGAATTTCAGTATTATATTTAAGATAAACTAACTAAATATACCTAACTTAACCTACCTTACCTACTCTAGGAGGGCAGTGCATTATTTTAGGACAGGTTAGGCTGTTATATTGTTAACTTATTGAGGTGGTCAGTAAAGAAAAGTATTTGCAAGGAGTAAATGGCAAAATCATTTTCTTTAGTTGAATATTTTATTGAATATTGGTGAGGCTAGTAGATGTCTGTCGTATGGACACATAGCTGGCAAGCATTTGGTTGCCTAGTGATGGGTTGGCCACTAGGAAATGTGCCAACAATTTAAACATAAATATTGAATCCTTGCAGGCACAGAGCATATTTGTTCTTAACAAATACAAGGGAAAACATAAGTAATAAGTACTTGATAAAGACTTTTATACGAGACAATTATTTTCAGTCAGGCCAGAAAAGGCCTGACTGAGAGGAGGGACTGTTATGCCATGAGTCTGGGTAATGGCTACTACATATGCTTAACAATCAATAGAACCAAACTTACTGCTACAACATGGAACTGCATGTCTACAAGGACACCATTTTCTGTATGCTGTGCTAAGAAGTTCAGTAAATTGCCAAAGAACATCAGGAAAATTAATACAGTGACCCCTCCGTTAACGAACTCAATCCGTTCCAGAAGGTCGTTCGTTAACCGAAAAGTTCGTTAACCGAAACCATTGTTTCAATGGGTTTTTGGGTAATTGGTTCCAGCTCACCGAAAATTTCCTAAATTCAACAAAAATGGTAGAAAAGTTCACTTACTTTGAGGTGTGTATGTAGAAGGCTCCTGGATGATGATGATGGGATTTAGAATGGGGGTAGAGGAGAAGGAAGAAGAGAAGGCATTGGGGTGGAAGAGAAGTCACCCCATGGCGCCATTTCACCTATAAAATTTTAGCTCTCTGGTGTAATTCAAGATTATTTTCTTTAAATCAACACTGCACTGCATTATATATTGTCAAAATGTAAAATATATTCAAAATGACCAATAATTTGCTTGGAAACACAGAAAAAAAGCGTTTAGTTGAAGAGAGTCTCAAGCAAGATGTTACCTCCAGTGAAAACAGAGAGAGACTAACTCCTGTTTGCTGTGTTAAGAGGCTGGATGCCGCGCATTAAACTAGTCACTTTACCTTCAATTATGTTCAATAATTGTTAAAATGACTAAAAAATTTAATATTCAACTTTTAAAATTATTGAATAGTATAAACTTCTTGATATTTACTAAAATAGTAAGGAATTTAAGCCCTAGAACCGATTAATGTATTGGCGGACTGATACTAAAGCTGGTTGCCCGGTCAGTGCAAGCCAAAACATGTTGAGGTCGGTTCGTAAGAACTTCGTTAACCGAATTTTTTTTCGTTAACCAAATTGAAGATCCTTATGGAAGGCAGTTCATTAATCGAAATTACGTTAACCGAGGTGTTCGTTAAACGAGGGGTCACTGTATGTTAATGTAAAAAACAAAACAAAAATTATCACATATATATTAAACTGTACAGTACAATACTGTGCATGGCAATCTGTGGTGTAATGGTCAGCATGTTCACCTCAACTCACAAGCAAAAGGTCCCGGGTTCAATCCCCCTACAGTGTGAAGCTGTGGGCAAGTTTCCTTCCACAATTTGCCTACATCTACCCATCAGTAATTGAGGACCTGGATATTAATTGATTTGTGGATGTTGTTCTGGAGTATTGGTTAGCTAGTGCAGTTGGCCGTATTGTTGTATGTTCAACCAATATGCAGCAGGGGCCAGGGGGAGTTGTTAACAAATTCCCAGATCTGATATGAAAGATTCCAGGTAGTGTAGTGGACTGCCAACATGGTTTTATGACAGGATGCTCCTGCTTAAAACAATTTCTCAGGGTCCTGGACATTTGGACTCATATTCTGCAACAAGGTGGCAATATCGACAATATATGCCGAGATGCACAGTAGGTAGTAGGCAGCTACCAAACAGGGAGGTACTACCGCCTGGGAAGATATTGGAAGCATAATGTATTGTCTAATGATAGACCCTGCTGCCATATATGACCAAGTCCCAGGTTGTTGCTCTGACTTTCTGCCTCATTTACACACAATTGAAGGGTCTCAATTGTTTCTCTTACCATTGACAACACAACATACATATACAGTCACCCCTCGTTTTACGCGGTCCCACATTCCGCGTTTCCACGTTTACGCGGTACCCTGCCAAAACCGGAATGCTCACATTCCGCGGTGCGTGTACCCCTTTACGTGGAGAGCAGCTGGCGAGCCGCGCCATTTTTGGATCCAAACCTCCCGCCCTCTCCCGCCATCCGCCATGTTGTGTAAGCGGCGCGAGCAGGGTGTGCACAAGGTTGCCCAGTCATCAAAACATTACCGAGTTCTTCACCCGCCACCCACCACAGCCGGCCCAAGTCAGTGATAGTGATAATGATAGTGAGGATATGGACTTGTATGGACTTTGAGGGGTTTGACAAAGAGGCCCTGCAAGCCTCTGTGGTGGATAGTGATACAATTGATACAAGTGATACAAGTGAGGGCCAATAATCTGCCCTCTGCCTCGGAACCAACCGCCCATCCCCGTGTGCCCAGCCATCTTTTCTACTAATGTAAGTGTTAAAAAACCTAATATTATTGATATTTCTCTTAATTATTAATTGTGTGTGCATACCATCATAAAATTAAGAAGTTATTTTTACTACAACGTAGGTAATGTGTCTGAAAAAGTGGAGTTTGGGGGTCGGCCCGGTCTCTATTTCAATTAATCCCATATGTTATGTTGTTCACTTTACGCGTTTCTCACTTTACGCGGGCCGCCGTGGGTTGAATTAACCGCGTAAAGTGAGGGTTCACTGTATATTGTTTCTCACTCTTGATCTTTTTTTCACTTTTGTATTTCTTTATGGTTCTTTATTATTATTATTATTATTGCAGAGTTGTTATTATTATTTTTATGGCAGTGTTGTTATTATTATTATTATCACTGTTATTTGATTAGTTTTATTTTTTATTTTTTATTATAAATTTTACCAATCTGAATTATTATTATTATTACATTTTCGCCCTCCAGGCCCCGATGTGGGTCAGTGACCTGTGCCCGGGTGGGCTAATCCCGTAAAAAAAAAAAAAAATAAATAAATTTGGCCAAGGCTTTCGACAGCATACCTCATGAAAGGCTGAAAATTAAACTGGAAGGATACAGAATTTGAGGAAGTGTCCTGCGTGGATCGGAGACTTTCTGCATGACAGCAAACAGTGAGTGGTGATAAATGGTACGAAATTGTTCTGTGTACCCGTGACAAGCAGGGTACCACAGGGCAGTGTACTGGGCCCATTGATGTTTGCTTATTTCATAAATGACATGCCAGAAGCTATACACTCCTCCATACAAATGTTTGCAGACGATGTCAAGTTATTCAGGGAAAATAAGAGCCAAACATACTGTGAAGAGCTGCAGAAAGATCACAGCGAGCTCCAAGAATGGTCAAAGAAATGGCTGATAAGACTAAATGTCACGAAGTATAAGAGGCTGCACCTGGGACGTACCAACAGTAAGGAGGCATATCATATGTCCCAACGGGATGAAGAAACTGCATTAATTTAGACCGAATGCGATAAGGACCTCGGTGTGTATGTTGACAATGAACTGAAGTTCTCGGGCCATTGTGAGAAGGTGAATCAAGCAACTTAACTAGCACATCTTATAAGAAGGACATTCAGATATCTAGACGGTCCGTCCCTCGTAACAATCTTCAAGAGTGAGGTGCTTCCCCGCCCGGAGTACTGTCACCCCGTCTGGTCCCCGAGATATGCTAGAGACTGTCAGTTGATTGAAAATGTCGAAAGGAAGGCCACCAGACTGGTGCCTGCTCTACAGAACCTCAGCTAGCCAGAAAGATTGGAACGCCTGCAACTGCTTAGCTTATACAACAGATGGGCAAGAAGCGACCTAATCGAAGTATAACATCTGAAAGGGCACTACTCAATCGAGTGTCCATACCTGGAACTGGCAGATGCTCGCACCACAAGGGGTCACAGTTTAAGGGTGAAAAAGCTACAAGTCGTGAAAACTGCGAGGAGAATATTTTTCAGAGTGAGAATTGTGAACTGTGGAGCAACCTGCCAGTCTTGTGACAGCACCGAGTGTGAGCTTTTTCAAGACCAGACTTGACCAACACTGGAGCAGGTTCAGGTACATTCAGGAGCCGGTGCATGCCCAGTACCTGCCAACAGTGATGTGACCGAGCTGAGGAGTCCATCAGTGGAGACCTGCAGACTGTGACTTACCTACCACGTGTGTTTTACACATACAACAAAGAATTTCAAACTCGTTAAATATATCCATGACTTACCTCGATCAAATTTTTTGCCATCAGGATCGATGTCTTTAACGTCGAAAATATCTTCGAAGAGAATCCCAGCCATAGTGAGCCTGGCGGTGTGTACCTCAGCTGTTGTGGCCGCCCACCTCTACACCATCCCACTATGTCTACCTAAAGTTATAATAATTCTAATGATATATATTTCTCACCTATTATAATATTTTTATCTTTATTTTTAATAATAACATAATTTTGGATATTTTTGTAAAATTGTGATGAGTATAAATGTTATATTAGGGCTGCCAGTTACTGAGGGCCAGGTTTAGAAGGTGATCGTTGGAGGGTAAACACCAGAGGACCTCGGGGCCTTTAAGGTGAACACTGGTCTTACTTTAACAGTTAACACTACTGAAGGGTTTATAAGGTGATGAATTCATAAAGACAACAAGTTAATTGATAACCTCTTTAGAATTAACCCAGTGATTGGTGAATATATGCACCACTCTGTGATAGTACAGGTAAGACAGAGACACTTGATGATAATGGAAATGATCATCAAAACTCACACAAAATCTGATATGTAAGGCTCGTCTAAAAGGTATCTAATTTTGACATTAAAACTTATGCAGTGATTATTTAAGACTGGTCCAGATGTGTGGGTCCAACACTCAAATTTTTTTGGTGGGTATGTATATCCTGTGTACCATATAAAATGGTAATTAAAGATGATCAGTGCCTCACTATCCGGCTAACATATAGCAAACACTGTCTCCATGACCCAGTAACTAAAGGTAGACATGATTTTTGGGTAAATTTACAATTTCAGCTACAATTACTGTTCAACCACATTTTTTTTCCTTTGGTATTTAGTGTAATTCATTCTGGTATTTTTCCGTATTAACACCCAAGTCACGCACAATACTAATGGCCATATCACTTACCTTATGCATTTCTAAGCAACTTTTCTTCTATAAACATGCGTCAAATTAGTCGTTGTCAAAATATTGATTTTTTAAAGAAATAATTTTGGAAGGCAACCAAGTGCGACAACTACCTCCCATCCCTGCCTTTGAAGACGAACATAATCCTCAACCTCAGCCCGGGCCTTCATCAGAGTAAACAGTAGGCAGAACAATGGTTATTTCTCGATTAGGTTCGGTTGGGTTGGGTTGGAGGGTTAGGTTCGGTTATCGGGGGGTCATAACTCGGAAATGAGTGATTTCCGACAGAAATGGATGTTACAATCACTCTAAAAACTTAAGTAAAAAGACAATTTTAGGCTTCAAAAGGAGTTGGGTGTTAATCAGGAAATTTACCTTCATATGCTTTGGAAATGAGTCCTTTAGGACTAATCACCTAACCAATCAATGAAAACTACCTAACCTTACCTACGTCCTAGCTGTCCCCGCTATATTAAATAGAAAGTATTTATTTTTATTTCTGGTACCAATGAATGCAACTTTGTTGCAGCATCATGGTGTAATTTTACATTTTTTGTGGACATGAGAGTGAACTCAGACTGAACGGGTCGGCTGTAAACAAACAGACGACACGAGGTGACTGCAGATTTACGCAAATTTCTTAAGTGAATTTACTGTCTTGGTTAAAATCCATTTACGATGGTAGTGGTATTAGAAAAGTTGTTCCTATTGACAAGATATAACTACACTAATGGTACACATAATTGCTCTTACCGAGTTGTGGCTGAAACTGTAATAATACCAAGTTTTCTAGAGGTGTTTTTTATTGTCAATCCGCTGGTGATAACCATATCTTGTACTGTACATGTACTGTGCTGAACTTCATTTGGTAAAGGTGGAGGAGACCGTTGACACCAGAAATAACTTATGGAATTGAACCAAAATGTCTGGAATTACTATTTGCATGATATTGAACACAAAAATGGAAGTGAGAATGCACAGAGCCAATTAGAACCTGACCTAATCTCACTTTACCTGACCTAACCTCACTTAACCTACTTAACTTCCTAATCTGTGCATTGTCATTCTGATTTTATTTCTCATTATCATCCAAACAACATCTCTAGAAAAAATGAACGCATTTAATTCAATATTAATCGTAATAAACATACACGATGTGATCGTGTTCATTTCTAGACATGTAAACAAAGACCGCGGAGGCTCCCATGTAGCAGACAATGTGAACCAAAACACCTTTATTGCAGTTTCATTCCCAATTGGGTTAGAGCAATTTGGGGTTCACCAGACGTTATATCTCGTCATTTGCAACAACTTTTTCTTATACTAATTCCATCACAAATGGCTAATAACAATGGTTGTGATTATGAGAGATATCTAGCAGTTTTCCCAAAAGTTAAAAATGGTCCCATCAGAATCCTCTGGAGGGCCTAAAATGACTAGTCACAGAACTTCTTAGCTTTGATTCCATTGTCTTCAACCATTCAGCTATTGGTATGGCCCCGGGGAAGAATACAATTTTGTATAAAAATTTTTTATTTCATTCTTGCCATGTCTGCTTTGTGTATTGGGTGCTCTCCTCCTCCTTTTGAGCTTATTCACAAGTTGTGGAAGAGTAATTCGGCTTCTATCACTCTTTTCTGAGAACACCGGGTTAGGTTTTGATTAGGTTGGGTTAGGTTAGATTTTGACTAAGTTGTGTTAGGTTAGATAAGATTAGCTTCCGTTTTTGCTCTCCCCCCACCCAAAAACCCCGAATTCCTACAGGTCTCTCAAGATTGTTGTAGGGAAGGGTGATAACTCAAAAACGACTCATTTCTGATGGCAATTGAGGTCAAATTGGAATGAATCACACCAAATACCATGGGAAAATCCCTAGATTTCTTGTCAAAAACCAATTACGGTAGTAGTGAAACTATAATTATACCACCAAAACATGGTTACCATGGGAGATCCACCAGCACCATAATTATGGTAAATATTTTATTTCTTCACCCACAAAGGATGTAAAGATATAAAATTACTGCCATATGATCAGTGTTCACAGCATTTTTACCCTGTTATTTTCCTCTTCTTTCATGCCATGCCCACTTATGAGTAATTTATGGTCAAAGGATAGGCAAAAAAGAAAAAAAACTACAATGTAGTTGCTTAGAATTTTTAACTCGGTATCATCCAAACATATCCTGAAAATATGGTGCAATTCCATTAAGTCCTTCTGGTACTAACCTCTATCCTTCATTTTTCAGTTATGGCGGCCTCTTTATCCCCCTTTAATGTTAATAATCCACGAAATGGACAGAGCTTTAGTTGTTGTTATTTTTTGTTTTTTGTTTTTTAAGGATATGTTACATTAGTGTTTGGAACACTTCCCTTATTTTTCACGGAGAGGTCTGATTTTACCAACGCTGCTGTCAACTGCCAAGAATAATTGAAGAGAATACTTTTACCCTAAATATTGATAAAAATAAAGTAGTGTCACTAAGTGTTTCGAGTACTAGCGAATTCTTTAGAAGAACTGGGGCGTTTGAGAAACAAAAGACCAGTTATTATTATTACAGGTATTATTATTATTAAAGTCCTATGTTTTACGTACATGTTTTAATCCCACATTTTCACCATCTTCTTCCAAGCTCTGCCCACTGTGTGGGATATTAATATTGAAGGAGGGGAAATGGAACATAACATAAAAATGAAGTATTTGCACAAGAAACTGTTCATCACCAGTGCATAGAGCATAGAATACACCTTTGGAAAAACTGGGTCTTGTTGCTGGGTCATGGTCCTGAAGCTTTCTATATACAGTACAGTATTCGCACAATATTCTTCAGAATTCTGCCTTATCTTTTAGAAGATTTTTTTTTTTAAATCAACAAGATTTACACTCAAGAGTTGTGGGCAGGAATTTTTTTTAAGGGTTCACAGTTCAATTAATGGCCCTGGTGGCTATATCACTACTGATAAACTTGATAATTAAAATGCTGTAAAATGATAGCTAAGAAGACATGAACACTTGCTATTCTGTAGTCAACTGTAGTAGTGAAAACAATATACAATACTGTACTGTACAGTATAAAATCACTAGAAATTTATAGGTACATACTGTAATAAAGCATTACAAACTCACAGTAGAACTCGGCGCTTTACTGATGTTTTTGCTAAGAATGCATTTCTTGGAAAAACGAGAGCAGACTGCTTGCTCCACATACCTTAGTGCACATTCTCCTGAATAAAATTATCACTCAGTTATGTTTGATTTTTACAGGCAGAAACTACTCCACTTTAACAACATTGTCAGTTCCTGCAATATTAATTGATATTTTAATTCAGCTTTTCATTTGATAAGGCAAACTTTGCTAACAACCTGCTCTCCAATGTTTGTTAAGAAATGCAGACAGCACCAATTCCTATCTATTAGCTAGACATTGTACAATATACAGGTACTGTACATGGAAAGTATCTGTAGTTTCTGTACCCCTAAAGTACCCTGTACACAAATCACCCCCAGTGTTGTACCTCCCAGATGCAAAAAAAAAATCATAATATTTTGTTATAGGGGTTTGTAGGAAATAGTTTATGGAGCATGGTGGCATAGTGGAACATCAAAGGTGGATCACTTCACTCATTCTGGGAACCCCCAGGGTAAAAATAAAATAAAATAATCATTTCGGTTGTGCTGCTCGTGCACCTATTTTCCGAAGGTTAGATTTGTTCAAAACATAAAAAGCATTGGAAAAACATAATTTCAACCTAACCTAACTTAAACCTAAATTCGCTGCATGACTGAAATGAAAGTAATACCGAAAAATAATAGAAAAAATTTATGTAATTTTTGGACTTATCCGTAAGTACAAAAAAGTCTGTAGACTGTGTAAAAATAATACAAAATACCAGCGCATGCCCTTAGTGGACTGGGAAAGCAGAACAATTCACCCCACTACCACACATTGGTAAAAAAATTATGTGTAGGAACATGGAAAACACAAAGATATACTGCACAGTATAGTACATGTACAATATAATGCTGGTGAAAGAGCAGACAAGGTGGATGGTAATGAGGAGGGGTCAGGAGGTGAGGTGGTGTCCACAATGGGTGGTGGGGCAGGTAGCCTACAGTTACCATAGATAATTTTTCTTCAATTTAGTAGCCACGAGGCTTTGTATTCCCGGCAAATTAAGAGAACTGTATGCAATTTGAAAGCAAAACAAGGACACGCCCTAAGTATATCAGTCTAGGCAACATGCCACAGTAGTAACTGGCATTACCTGTAGCTACTGTGGTACAGTAAAAGTAAAAAAATCTGGATGCCAGAAATCCGGACCACCCGAGAATCCGGACTTTTCAATTTTATTTTTTTATTTTTTATTTATTTTTTTTAGCGGGCTTTTGTGTGTATATGCGCATGCGTGAGCACCACAGCTGCACCGCGACAACAAGCGACCACGAGGTCGACACTTTAAAACGAGCAATCAAACTGTGACAACGTATGTAATTTTGAGTCCTACTCTTTCCATTTACAGAGTATACTGTACAACCCCATAATAATGGCTCCTAAAGTAGATAAACTTCGTTGTGTGAAGAGAAATAAAACACGTTGAAATTGAGTGACAAACTTGAAATAATTAAGAAACTAGAACATGGTGTGAGCAATACTGTTCTAATGGAAACATACGACATTGGAAAGTCTACAATTTATAATATAAAAAAGGCAAAGAATAAAATTCTAGAATTCACAGCTTTTTCCTTAAAACTGCTCGTTTTGATAAATGAAGCATGCTATATTTGCTAATGAATAAACTATCAAAATGTACCTTTTCATCTCTTCTTTATTTCTCCTTAAATTTGAATTTTAAAAGTACTGCCTGAGAATCCGGAAAATCCGAAAATCCGGACCGACCCAATCCCCAAGCAGTCCGGATTTTTGGACTTCTACTGTAGTTAAATATTTTTCTCATTGTCTTGAATTTATTTGTAAAATATATTATAATTGCAACGAGACTACAAGTTTTCTTTATTGAGGTAAACTGAATTGGTAAGGAATAAAGCTGTAATGATCTTTTTTGTACTTTATAATACATGGTTTATTCCAGCACAAGACTAATTTGGTCATCATATTGTTAAATTCTTGAGGAAGGGTCACAATTTTAGTAACAAAGCTAATTTTGCTGACAGTGATGCCAAAACATAAATTATGATACAGTAGACATGAACCAACCAGACATAAATTATCTTAGTTTTTTCTAAATTCTGGGTGGATGTGTTGCCCTTTTGGTCTATTTTCTTCAGGGTGTTCATTAAGACCTTTTATATATATATATATATATATATATATATATATATATATATATATATATATATATATATATATATATATATATAGTATATATATATATATATATATATATATATATATATATATATATATATATATATATATATATATAGTATATATATATATATATATATATATATATACAGTCAACCCTCACTTTACGCGGTTAATGTAACCCACAGGGTGCCGCGGAAAGTGAGGAACGCGTAAAGTGAATAACATAACATATGGGATTAATTGAAATAGAGTCCGGGCCGACCCCCAAACTCCACTTTTTGACGACACACAAATATGTTGTTGTAAAAATATTATCTTAACTTTATGATGGTATGCATACACAATTAATAATTAAGAGAAATATCAATAATATTAGGTTTTTTAACACTTACATTAGTAGAAAAGATGGCTGGGCACACGGGGATGGGCGGTTGGTTCCGAGGCAGAGGGCAGATTATTGGCCCTCACCTGTATCACTTGTATCAATTGTATCACTATCCACCACAGAGGCTTGCAGGGCCTCTTTGTCAAATCCCCCAAAGTTCATACAAGTCCATATCCTCACTATAATTATCACAATCACTGACTTGGGCCGGCTGTGGTGGGTGGCGGGTGAAGAACTGGTAATGTTTTGATGACTGGCCGACCTTGTGCGCACCTTGTTCGCGCCGCTTACACAACATGGTGGATGGCGGGAGGTTTGGATCCAAAAATGGCGCGGCTCGCCAGCCGCTCTCCGCGTAATGGAGTACACGCACCGCGGAATGTGAGCATGTTAGGTTCCGGCAGGGCACTGCTTAAACGTGGAAACGCGGAATGTGGGAACGCGTAAAGTGAGGGTTGACTGTATATATATATATATATATATATATATATATATATATATATATATATATATATATATATATATATATATATATATATATATATATATATATATATATATATATATATATATATATATATATATATATATATATATATATATATATATATATATATATATACCTGTTGTACCCCACTTAACGCGGTCAATTGAACCCAGAGGGTCCCGCGTTAAGTGAAATCCGCGTTAAGTGAACAACAGAACATATGGGATTAATTCCAATAGAAACCGGCCCGACCCCCAAACTCCACTTTTTGAAGGCACATACCTATGTTGTAGTAAAAATAACATCTTAATTTTATGATGGTACATGCACACAATTAATACTTAAGAGAAATAGAGAAATACAGTCGCCAAGTTAATGTCCATTCAAATAATGGACTCAACTCCCTCCCACTCTCACACTACACTGCCGGCTCTTCCCTCTCAGAGAAATTTTTGGGGGAAAACCACTAAATTTTAATAAATAATACCTCAAACTAAAGTTAGGATAATACAATTGACATTGCTGGATTCCTTGTAAGACCAGGAATATTTTGAATATAAATGTCATATATTTTGCACAAAAGATAACATAGTTACCTAGAGAAAAATTTTTATCTAAAAATTGTATGTTTAATGCAAAATATATGATGTTTATATTCAAAATGATCACCAAATTATAAGAATTCCAGCAATGTAAATTATATTCTGACCGGGTAATTTGTATGAATTTTATGAGCTAAAACAAATATCTTCAGTTAATAAAAAAAAAAATAATCTTCACGACACTATCTGTCAATCAAAGTACCCCACCTTGCCTCCCCCCCTCTTCCAACCGCGCGGTCAGTCCCAACCCTCCCCCCCACCCCCCACCAATCCTCCCTTCCAGAGTTTTTAACATTTAGTATTAAATAATACCTCAGATTAAAGTTAGGATAATATAATTGACATTGCTGGATTCCTTGTAAGACCAGGAATATTTTGAATATAAATGTCATATATTTTGCACAAAAGATAACATAGTTACCTAGAGAAAAAATTTTATCTAAAAATTGTATGTTTAATGCAAAATATATGATGTTTATATTCAAAATGATCACCAAATTATAAGAATTCCAGCAATGTAACTTATATTCTGACCGGGTAATTTGTATGAATTTTATGAGCTAAAACAAATATCTTCAGTTAATAAAAAAAAAAATAATTCTTCACGGGGTAACAGATGGTCGGTCGGTCCCTCCCTCCCCCCCACTCCCCACCAACCGTCCCAAGGAGATGTGTGGGATAACCACTAAATTTTAATAAATAATACCTCAAACTAAAGTTAGGATAATATAATTGACATTGCTGGATTCCTTGTAAGACCAGGAATATTTTGAATATAAATGTCATATATTTTGCACAAAAGATAATATAGTTACCTAGAGAAAAATTTTTATCTAAAAATTGTATGTTTAATACAAAATATATGATGTTTATATTCAAAATGATCACCAAATTATAAGAATTCCAGCAATGTAAATTATATTCTGGCCGGGTAATTTGTATGAATTTTATGAGCTAAAACAGGCAGTCAGGCAGGGTGGCGGGTGGGGCAAATCTAAAAATAGCGTCTCGAGCCGGACACTCACAGCGTATATGTGGAAAAAATCCGTGTTAAGTGAAAGTTCAGCTCTGGCGAGGCACCGCGTATATGATAAAACGCGTTAAGTGAAACCGCGTTAGGCGGGGTAATACTGTGTGTATGTATGTATATATATATATATATATATATATATATATATATATATATATATATATATATATATATATATATATATATATATATATATATATATATATATATATATATATATATGTGTGTGTGTATATATGTGTGTATATATATATATGTATATATGTGTGTATATATATATATGTATATCATGTAGATCACAGCTAAGGTTCTCTGTTGTTTCCTTTTCGTGTGATTGTATCAAGATGTATATACAGCTAGACCCCGACTTACGACGGGGTTGGGACCCAAATCAGGTAAATGAGGTCCGAATGGTCGTAAGTCGAATGGTCGTAAGTCCGACATAGATAAATTTTTTTTTTTTTTTTTTTTTTTAAATCTACAATGAAATACAGTACAGTAAAAGTAATAAATAATGAGGAATAGATACAGTGTGACTGAGCACTTACCTTTAATGTAGTCAGCTGAATGCACATAGAACCCCCATAATTTTCTAATTATACATGAGAACTACATTAACTGGAAACATATTCGTATAGAAAATCGTGTGTCATTTGGAAAAAAAAATGGCTAAATGGTCAATAAGTCAGGTAAATAAATCGGGGTCTAGCTGTGTGTGTGTGTGTGTGTGTGTTATATATATATATATATATATATATATATATATATATATATATATATATATATATATATATATATATATATATATATATATATATATATATATATATATATATATATATATATATATATATATATATATATATATATATATATATATATATATATATATATATATATATATATATATATTTATATTATATTGACAATCCCTTATCCGAAATCCTTTGGGGCCAGAGGCATTTTGGATTTCGGAATTTTTCGGTTTTCAGAATGGTTATTTTTTTCTTTTTTTTTTATGTGGCCCACCCGGGCACAAGTCACTGACCCACATTGGGGCCTGGGGGGCGAAAATATAATAATAATAATAATAATAATAATAATAATAATACAGGTAATAATAATTCACAGGTCTAGGTCGTGTTACTCACTTTTTATCCTTTTTTCATTCTTGTATTTCTTTATTATTATTATTATTATTTTTATTAATGCAGTGTTATTGTTATCATTATTATTTTATTTTGGTGTATTTTTTAATTAAAATTTTTATTTACTATGAATAATTATTATTATTATTATTATAATTAGTATTACTATTAAATTTTCGCCCCCCAGGCCCCGATGTGGGTCAGTGATCTATGCCTGGGTGGGCTAATCTCTGTTCAAAAAAAAAAAAAAATTGCTCCACAAAAAACTCGGTTTTCAGAGCTTTTCGGTTTTCGGAATTTCGGATAAAGGGTTGCCAACCTGTATATTACTTAAATTGTCTCTTTTTCAGCATAACTTGAGAGATTAAGAACTGAAAAATGATGGCAACTCTTCCTCCACGCAAGAACCCAACTCCAACAAAAATATTACGGCAACATTTATCACCTCTTCAGATCCTTTTGCAGATGGGATTTCCAAAACACCGGGCGTAAGTACAGTACAGTTCTATCCTACTCATACAGATGTAATCACTTCTTTTATCTCGATTACAATGGTCCCTCGGTTAACAAACACAATTCGTTCCAGAAGGTCGTTTGTTAACCGAAAATTTTCTTTAACCGAATCCATTGTTTCAATGGGATATTGGGTAATTGGTTCCAGCTCACCAAATGTACACACAAAGTAAAAAAAAAATGCAGTAAAGTACACTTATTTTGAGATGTGTATGTAGAAGGCTCCTGATTGATGATGATGATGGGAATTAGAAGTGGGGTGGGGGAGAAGGGAGAAGAGAAGGTGGTATGGAGGAAAAATCACCCTCCAGGGGACCCATGCTTGATGCCTCATTTCACCAATAAAATTTTAAGTTCACTTGGTGTAATTCAATATTATTTTCTTTAAATCAACACTGCACTGTACTGTATATTATCAATATGTTAACTAAAGTTCAGAATGACCAATAATTTCAATGAAAAATGCAAAAATATTCAAGACACCAACAAAATGGCTGCTCTCATTAAACAAGCTAGACTGAGAGGGTACAGGGATAATTCATATAATGTCCAGATAATACATGTACAGTGGGGTATGCTATAACGAACGGATCCTACTACGAATATTCCTATAACGAACGGTTTTACCTATAAAATTGAGAATGCTATAACGAACGAAACTCCTACAACGAACATTATTTATTTATTTATTTATTTTATTTATTTATTTTTTTTTACTAATTTATTGTTTTTTTATTACAAGTATTAATGATACTCATTATTTCAGGGGTTTAGATGCATATTTATGCACTTTTTTACAATTTTTACAATTTTATATTATATTTTTCAGTGTTAAGTGGTTGTATTTGGGGGCCTGGAACGGATTAATCCTATAACGAACGAATGCTATAACGAACAAGGTTCTAGAACCAATTAGATTCGTTATAGCATACCCCACTGTACAGTATTGTCAATATGTTAAATAAATGTTAAAATGACAAATAATTTTAATATAAAACATTCAAAAATATTAAAAAGCTCAACTTAAATTATATTTACTCAATTGGAAACGAATTTAAACATAGAACAGATTACTGAATTGGCAGACTGGGTCATCAGCTGACCAGCTATTGCTCACAACAAAACGTGATTTCGTAAGGATTTCGTTAATCAAATTTTTGTTCGTTAACCGAATTGAAGATCCCATGGGAGGTAATTCGTTAACCGAAATTTCTTTAACAGAGACGTTTGTTAACCGAGGGACCACTGTATAATGATTTTATACAGTCATGTATTGTGTCATACAATATGACACAGTGGACAAAATATTTTGAACAAGTCTTTGATAAAATGTCATGTTGGTAGCCCTGATTATCTCTTATATGAGAAAATGTAAATATGCCAGGGATGTATTTCTTTGCGCTCGGTAATATCTCCATTAGCCGGTATCCCTGTTATCCAGAACTTGCCAATAACTGGAAAGAAATTTTCCGTAAAACTACAGCTTTGGAAAAGATTTTCTGAGGGGCACATTTTCTGGGAAATTACGAGAAAATTTTCCCAGTAGCCAGAAAATTCTGGGGATGGGGGATATTTTTCCGGGTTCAAGAGGTTATGTAATTTGCAATTTCTGGAACTTTCAAGAACATTTTCCCTTTACCTGGAAAATCCCAGGGATGAGGGATCTTTTTCTGGCTTTGCGAGATGATGTAATGCGCAGTTTCTGGAACTTACAGAAAAAAAATTTGTTTTCTGGAAATTCCTGGGATGAGGGATTTTTATTGGCTTTGAGAGGTGTCTCATTACCTGGAAATCTCTCATTTCCAGAAGTGCTTTGCACCAATTGTTCTGAGCAACAGAGATGTCACTGTATACCTATTTGTATCTGAGCATAATTAATCTTATCTCATTTTGACTCACTTTTTGTTATAAAACAAGAAACATTGTTACTACATACTGTATATTAATAACTTAAGGCAGTGGTTCCCAAACACGGGGTCGTGACCTCAAATGGGGTCGGAAGACGCATCATAAGGAGTCACACAGAGGTCATGGGGTAAATGGGGTCCCACAAAGCTCATAGTCCAGGTGTCGAGAACTGAAGGATGTGGCCGACAGGTGCCGTGTCATTAAGTCGGGACCATAAATTATGGTCAAAGGAATAATGCAGTTACTCTCCTTGTGTCAAGTCAGGTCAGTCCAGGGAAGGTGAACGCTGATGACACGTTACGCAACAGACACTTCACACTCCTACCTATGAATTGTTCTCAGCTCAATGCACTCTGTACTTCCCATTGATATAGACAAAAAATGGCAACAAATTTCAATGATAGATTCCTTGAGTTGTTTACTGAATCTTTGGATTTTGTTCAGTTTCTCTTCAAGACAGATGTAAAACAGTGTGGCTCTTTTGTCCTCGAAATACAGTAATATCTCCGATAGCCGGAATTGAAATTTTCTCGGAAAATCGTTCCCAAAGCCGGAATTTTCCGGAAATTTCCATTTTTGGGAACGATTTTCTGAGGGGCACATTTGCCGGAAAATTCCGAGAAAAATTTCCTGATTCCCGGAAAATTCCAGGGATGGGGTTTTTTCTTCCGGGTTTGAGAGATAAAAATTAAGCGCATTTTCTTGAAATTCTGAGAAAATTTTTCCGTTGCCCGGAAAATTCTGGGGATGAAGGATATTTTTTCGGCTTTGAGAGAGTCATCTCGTTACCCGGATATCTCTCATTCCCGGAAGTGCTCTGTACCAATTGTTCCGGCTAGCTAGGATATCACTGTAGCAGAATTACAGGCTGACAACAAGGCAAGGGTGATTGTTGCCATGTATGATGACATACTGTAAGTGTTTGGGTTATTTATCAAATTGACATTCAGCAATTAAAAATTAATCTATTAAGGTTCTGATATAAATTGGAAGTCTGTGAAGCAGCTTTCTCGTCAATGGTGTTTATAAAAAATTAGCACCATAACCGTATCACATAATTTTATCCCCAGTAAACAGAAAATTTATTTATTGATAATGCACACACATTACTGTACTGTACATATGAATTCTGACTGATGTAACTTGTAATGAAAATTAATTACATGATGATGCACATAAGTCACATACAAAATACATACAGTATGAGAGAGATGTAACTAAGAAAATTGTATGTTGTGTTGCTTAACCATGTAATTATATCCCCAGGTATAGAACTTTAAATGATCATATACAGTGAACCCTCACTTTACGCGGTTAATTGAACCCACGGCGGCCCGCGTAAAGTGAACAACATAACATATGGGATTAATTGAAATAGAGACCGGGCCGACCCCCAAACTCCACTTTTTCCCGATACAATACGTACGTTTTACTAAAAAAACATCTTAACTTTGTGATGGTATTCACCCACACATGATATAGAAGGGAACAATCAATAAGAGAATAATAAACTGAAGGTTAGGTTACAAATAAACAAGGTTGGGGTTAACACTTACGTTAGTAGAAGAGATGGGTCGGCGTAGGGGAATGGAGGCTGGTTCCGCGGCAGAGGGCAGGCTACTGGCCCTCAGGTGAGTCTTCATCGGTGTCATCCACACTTACTAGTGCCTCCCTGACAAATCCCTCAAAGTCATCATCACTGTCTCTGCCACTATCACTATCACTGGCTTGGGCTGGCTGTGGTGGGTTGCGGGCGAAGAACTCTGTTTTGCTTTGCTGACGGCTGGTGTTTATGTTGTCGTGATAAACCTTGAAGTAGGGCTCCATAGTCTGCAACAGCTGGGTAGTAAAGATTTCATACCTGTTTGCGTCAGGGTCGTCGGAAAGGAGGAGCTTGACTTTCTCAATACACTCGATGGCACCCCTTACATTACTATGGGATAAGCGGCGTTCTTCTTGGGATGACGCACCACCTGCCTCTTCACTGACGTCATCATCATCTACCATCTTGTCGGTAGTCACATCAGGATCCCTTATCACCTCCAGGATGTCGTCGTTGGTGGTCTCGGAGAAGCCTGCAGCTGTAACACTCTGCGCAGCTTCTCTGGCAAGGTCCACTGCTACTGCAACAGTCTGAACCTCACCAGTCACAGATTTACTCTGCCTAACACCCGGAATGCCTTGCAACACATTTCTCCATGCGTGACGAACAGTTGCTACACACAGCTGATCCCATGCCTCCACCAAGAAGTCCACAGCTTTCTTGACGTTGAATGTTCTCCAGAATTGTTTCAAAAGTACTTCTTGCTCTGCCAACTGTTGATCCTCGTCATCTTCGCTCTTGCTATCGGTGTTGGTGTCACTCAGGTTAAGCAATTCTTCCTTGGTGTTGGTGTAGTCATTCAGGAGGTTGAATTTTTTAGCAGAGAATGCAGCTTTTACATTACAGATCAATTCTTGGTCCATGGGCTGTATTATAGACGTAGTGTTGGGAGGAAGGAAGACCACTTTTACGTTGGGGTGACGATCTAACAGTAGGGGCAAGTGTCCTGGTGCGTTGTCAAGCAGCAACAAAATCTTGAATGGCACATTCTGTTGCTCACAGAATTTCTTCACATCGGGAACGAAACAGTCATCAAACCAGGAGAGGGACAGAGTAGAGAACATCCACGCCTTACGTGCGGTCAGCCAGTGGACATTTAGCTTGGTCATGTCCATGCTCTTGTAGGCGTGCGGCTTGCGTGCTGTGTGGATCACCGATAACTTGAGCTTACAGGTACCGGAGGCATTGGTGGTAAACAGGACGGTGATGCGCTCCTTCTGCAACTTCCGGCCCCGACACTTGCTGGCATTCTTCACAACGAAGGTCTTGGAAGGTAGCTTTTTCCAAAAAAGACCAGATTCGTCCATGTTAAACACCTGGTCGTCGGTGTACTGTCCTTCCTCCATAATCTCACGTAAAAACGGAGGAAATTCCCTAGCCGCAACACGGTCAGCACTAGCTTCTTCACCACCAATGTTGATATTGGTGATTTTGTTCCTCTTCTTAAACCTCTGTAACCACCCAGAGGAAGCATTAAAGGGTTTGGGCTCTGTAATTCCCATCTTTCGTGACACTGCAGCATACAGTTCACGTGCGTACTCCTTAACTGAGCGCGTGTCCACCGCCATGTTCCGTCGCACCTGACTCACCAAGTAGCTCACAAGTCATTTTTCCGTCTTGAGAAGCACCTGGTTGTGGAAATACTTGATCATAGAAGCACCTGTAGACTTTGTGATGTTCATGGGCTCCTTTATCTTGGTTGCATCCTTCTTAATTGTCCTGATAGTTGATTCGTTAACACCATGCTGGCGCGCGAGATCAACCTGTCTTGTTCCTTTCTCCAACTCTTGTATGATCTTATATTTTATTTCGTAGCTTAAGGAACGTCGTGTCTTCTTTGGCCTAGGGCGGCTGGGTCCAGGTAATGCAAGGTTTCTTTGTGGTGGTGGTGGTCCGGTGGAAGCCATTCTTATGGAACAACGGATACCGATATACACGGTGTAGCCGGGAGGGGTGTAACTGACGCGGTAGGTCAAGGGGCTTGAACGCTCCCACGGCGGGGCACGTAATAGTACTACATTAAACCAATCACAGCTAGCAGGGAGGGAGGTAAGGATGCTTTGCCCAATCACAGTCCGCTACGTGATATGACGTCACTGATAACGCAACAAAGACATATACTGCGCAACCTACACGCGCCGCTTACACAACATGGCGGATGGCGGGAGAGATGGCGGGAAGTTTGGATCCAAACATGGCGCGGCATGAGAGGACCGCCAGCCGCTCTCTGCGTAAAGGGGTACACGCACCATGGAAAGTGAGCATTCCGTGTTCGGCAGGGTACCGCGTAAACGTGGAAACGCGTAAAGTGGGACCGCGTAAAGCGAGGGTTGACTGTAATGTCACATAATAAACAAGACAGAGTTGTAACCTGTTTCTGCAAGTGTTTATTTTTAGACCTTCTCAATTTGTTTTAACAGTTAAATGCGTTCAGTACATCAATATGTCCGTATTTACTCTAAGGATCTTCATATATACAGCATATTGTATACTGTTTAATGACTTGGGGTTGCATTTGATAGGCGACAGTACTAGACGGGGTCGCACTGGAAAATGCTTGGGAACCCCTGACTTAAAGAATTAATTAATACAGTAACACCCTGATTTACACGGTCAATTGAACCCGCGGAGTAGCGCGTAAAACGAGAAACGCGTATATGGAATAACAACATATGGGATTAATTGAAATAGAGACTGGGCCGACTCCCAAACTCCACTTTTTCCGACACAATACCAACACAATACCTACGTTGTAGTAAAAATAACATCTTAATTTTATGATGGTATGTACACAATTAATATTTAAGTGAAATACAGTCGCCAGGTTAATGTCCATTCAAATAATGGACTCAAATTCCCCCCCCCACCCCCCTCTTCCCACGCTCGCTGGCTCCTCCCTCTCTGAGAAATGTATATTTACATTTTTAGTAATAAATAATACCTCAGACTAAAGTTAGGATAATGTAATTGACATTACTGGATTCCTTGCAAGACCAGGAATATTTTGAATATAAACGTCATATATTTTGCACAAAAGATAAAATTTTGGCTCTTTGTAATCAAAATTCTTACATTAGATCTAAAATTTGTATGTATAATGCAAATTCCATGATGTTTATATTTAAAATAATCACAATCTTATAAGAATTCCAGCAATGTAAATTATATTCTGGCCGAGTAATTTGTATGAATTTTATGAGCTAAAACAAATATCTTCAGTCAAAAACAAAATGAGTAAATTCACCGTGTAAATGGGGCATCCCGGTTCTGGCAAGGTACCGCGTAAATGACCAAACGCGTAAACGAGAACCGCGTAAATCGAGATTCAACTGTAGTACAGTATAAGTCTTTTGGTGGTTTGAGTGACCTGACAAAGAAAATTAATGGAACATTTCACACAGTATTAGAGAATATTGTGCATATAAAGTTGCCAGTTATTGCATTTAACCCTATAACTGCAACATACATTATCGAATGATAAGCGGAGGAGTGTGACTTACATTCTGGAATTCAGAGCATTTTGAATGCTGCACACAAGCATTTTTATATTTCGCTGGGTCAAGTGTGGGATGTTTACACTTGCCAGTTTCTTGAGTCCCCCCACTGAGACATACATTTTCTCTATCCTCCGTTTCAGAAACCGAACAAAATATTTTGTTGGTGTATAGATATTCAAAATTATGAATGAATGCGCATGTGTTACCGTAAGATATATATACAGGTACCTACTTATAACTGAAACATTCAAGTTCCATTGAGAGTGATGTTGAAAGCTTTAACTGTACAGTACTGTATTTACTTTTTCCACCCTATGAGAGACTGGCAGCCAAACTAAGGTAAATTATGGACTCATATTAGGTTTCCACATTCTTCTACATGCTCTCTTTTAATCCACAAGCGTTAAAATGATCAGGGAAAATCGTTGTATGTTTTTTTGCCCACTGGGGGGTTGATTGATGAATCGCTCTACTGCAGTTATTGGGTTAAGTCATATTCCAGGCAATGATTGCATACACAGTAATATTATAACTAATATTAGCAAATCATATAAATCCTGAATCATTTGTTGCTTGGATAAATGGGAATTTATTTCATGGTAAGGTAGAGAATATTCAGAGATAGATTTTATATAAGTAGTATTTTGTGTGGGATCCCCCTGCTACATTGAGTCATGGAGACCGCTAACTCATCTGTCAGGTCTCGTCCAGCTGTGCTTCAGAGTTGTTCCCAGGCTAGTAGAGCATCGGCTATTGGGTTAAGGTTGGGGCATTTTGGAGGATGTAGTAATTTGAGGGTGTTCCTGAAGCCTGGCTTTGCAGCTGGGTGGGTGTGAATTGAATTGTTGTCTTGCACTAAGTAGAATGGTGCTGATTCAGGGAATAGTACTGCTATTACCAAAGGTAGCAGGACCTCCTCCAATATTTCAATATCTTTCTACAGTGAGCCAGTCCAGCCCTACATCAGCCAGCTCCCCAACAGCATTAGAATGTATAGTATCCATCCAGCGGTAACACTGGCTATTCCACCTGCTTCCCACCTCATGCCCCAGTGCATATCTTAAAACAAAATGAAAATGACCTATTGATGGATTTATTTGGATCTTATTGACTTATGGAACAGAGAAAGAGAGTTACCTTGTGTTTGGTTTGCCAAACTTTCACATGTCTGGGTTGATCCGTCACATAATATTACCTGATCCCAGAAGCTACTCAATCATCCACAAACTGCAACTCATATTCCATCTGGTGTTCTATATTTATATCAGTCAGCTCAGGTTTTGTGGCGAGCACTTTAACCCTTGCTCGTCATGGTTGCTGGCAGTGGTTAATAAGTAAAGCAGCTTCACTGGCATCTACTATGGCCTGATCCAGGGTTATTGAAAAAATACAGTATAGTATTATTGCAGACAATGGAGATTACAATGCAGTACAGTATTAGGAATGGAGTTATTGTAATAGATTATTAATGTTCCATAATTAGAAGCTCTTGACGTGGAGTGGAGTTGTGCAGCGAGGCCTCCCTCTCCGTTGATGGGTCCTGTTGGTGCCAGTATCTTGATAATGCATTATCCATAGTGATATGGTGGGGGTGACATGCCAGTCCACCGTGCAATTTCCTGAAGTCTTAGGCCCTCACCGTGGAGAGTGATAATGGTTGCACATAGTGCTTTGGAATTCTCCATAGTGAATACCAAGATCATGCCAGTATCAAAGATTGTGTTCCATGTGTGGAAATAATTCTGAAATATAAACAAACATCACTTTATAAATTTGTAGTGAATATCATTTATGAATAGAACAACCACTTATAAGTCTGCATTACAGTTAATGAAATACAGTACAATTGTAACATATATCAACTATTGTTGTAGCCACTTTTCCTTTTTCATACTCGTATGTTATATTCCTAAATGGCAGTTTATCTCTTTGAGTTGTATCCTTTTAAATTATGTGTAAAACAAAGCAACTTGTTTATTTATTTTCAAAGGTAACATGAAGATGACCTACAAATATTATTATGACATTATTAAGAAATGCATTTTGCAGTCAAGCATACCAACTCTAATGATACAACAGGAGCATTAGTGCTCATTCTGAAATCCATTGTACCCAGCTGTAAAGATTCTTTATTGTTGTGTGTACCACTACTGTGTAAAAACTACTGTTATGTTACAAGGTAATTTTTGTTTTACTTACCTCTCATGCAATCATTATAATCTCTTTGTACTGTACTATATGTTATGAGACCTTGTGTTTCATGGATGTTTACTTCACAGGGAAAAGGCGCTCTCAGCTACTGGTCATCGGGGTGTTCAGCTTGCATCTGATTGGTTACTTGCCCATGTAAATGACACAACCTTGGACCTTGACTGCCCTCGAGAGTATGTGGTATACATGTGTCCTACAGGTCCCCTCCAAGAACAGATTCAAAACTTCTGGGAGGAGTCTCTTCAGAAGTGTGGGTGGAATGGAGCACATAATTTGGTACCACACATCACCCTCTGCTCCTTTTTTAAAGTGAGTTTGTATTTAAGTCTTAGTTTATGTGAGGATAAGTGGCCAGTGAAATATACTTTATTTTAAACAATACACGTCAGGTATCCCCGATTTACGATCTCCCCGTCTACCATATTTTGCTTGAACGATTGTTATGTATTTTGATATAAAAAATTTGCATGAACGATGGTTATTGTCCAGCCACCGCAGAATATGGAACATATCTCTCGGTGCACTTGTTAGCTGTGGTCTATCTGAGCGCCATCACACAGCCACCCAGTGCACTAGAGTCCCAAGCTTGTACCATGTTGATTGCACATGGCCATGATCGTGTAGCTCAATGATTATTATCAGTCGGTATCAGTGTTGTTACTTATCATTGGTGTTTATCTGTTTTGTTTTTGTTTTTAACCTTACATTAAGAGGACATTACTAACATTTGCATTGTACAGTGATATCCCTGTTAGCCGAACAATTGGTGTAGAATACTTCCCGGAATGAGAGATTTCCGGGGAACGAGACAACTTTCTCAAAGCCGGAAAAAAAAATCCCTCATTCACGGAATTTTCCGGGTATCGGTAAAATTTTCCGGAAAATGTGCCCTTCGGAAAATCATTTCCAAAGCCGGGATTTTCCAAAAAATTCCAGCTTTCGGAACGATTTTCCGAGAAAATTTCAATTCCGGCTATCGGAGAGTTCCGGGTTTGAGGGGTTCCAGCTACCGGAGATATTACTGTACTCTGTTTTGGTGACTGAAGTGATTTTTGCTTTGTTTTTTGTGACTGTAAAGTACTTTTCCTCTTTTGGTGTGAGTAGTGTCGGCCGCTATCATTGTTTTTACGTTATCATTGTTTATTTTTCTGACTGTGACTTTGAAAATGTCTGGGAAGGCCAAAGCACTCAGGTAAACCGTGTCTCTGGAGGTGAAGCTTGACGTTGTGAAGCTGTGTGGAAGTCAGAGTGACATGTACCACTCAACCTTCAAGAGCCCCCTTAGCCACAAAGGGGACATGTAATGGTGACCAGGCTTGTTCTTAATGATGTAGTGAGTGTTATTTAATTGTGTTGTCTGTAGGTCTATTATTAGTGTAGGAATTTTTTTTTCGGTAATACACATTGGTGTTGGACTGCCTGGGAATTTATCCCATTGAACCCCATGTTATAATGATCCCGATATACGATATTTCAACCTGTGATGGGTTGTTCAGGAACCTAACCCCATCGTAAATGGGAGGATACCTGTTCCGTATATGATTAATTTTATTTCAAATTATAAACATGATTGCAATAAAGCCTTAACAGCTTTTATTATAGACTTGAGGTTTGTAGTTTGTGTTATTTTGCTATTTTCTTTCATTAAATGAGTCATTTTGCTTGCCTCTTAAAATTCTTTAAAGGTAATGCCAAGTTGAACTCTTTCAGTAGATAAGAAATATTAAGATGAAGCTGAAATTAGTCTGGCATTTATAGGTGAAAGTTCTTCTTGTTCATCTAGTGCAGTGGTTCCCAAACTGCGGGGTGGGTACAGGGGAGGCGTGAAGCCATCTGCCAAAATTTGCTATTTTTGGCTCAAAAAGAATATACTGAAGAAACTCTTTCAGGAGTAACTCTCTCTCCATTTGAATCTTCCACACATCCGTGCAAAACCAAAGTGTAGCAGTCACCCCAATCCGTTTTCTATCATTTTATCTCTCTCTCCTGACGCGTCTTGTACATGTCATGGATACCATACTGACTCTCACACTACTCTTATCTCTCACAACACTACCAGCCCCTGATCCTCCCTCATCTTCAGTCACAGTATGTTAAGATTTATCTCAAACTGTGTGTTTTGGTCTGGATTTCTTCTCTTTTAATTATTTGTTAATTAATTTTGCTTATAACTGTGTGGTGTGATGTAGATTTTACTTACAAAAATATAAGGGGGGGGGGGCATGAGGACTTTGCAAAAGGGGGCATCATGTTAAAAAGTTTGGGAACCACTGATCTAGTGAGTGTATAACATGTTGTATGTAAGGAAGCTAAAAAGTATGATAGTGAATACAAGCGAATGTTTATTGCTCATGATTCCAGGTACACTTTGCCAAGGTAAGAGAGAAGTTACAGAAGTGAACAACAAATTTTTTTTTCTAAGCTCATATAATAATTGCAGTCTGGGGATGAGAACTGTGAGGGGCTGGTCGCAGCTCTGAAGGAAGTCGTACACAGCATCATGCCCTCCCTTCCCTCCAGCCTAACACTTGACAAGTATATATCACCCAACTACATGGGCCTTTTTTTAAATGACCAGCAAGCAGACATTCTTAAGAAACTTGCTGTTACATATGTAAAGGAAGTAGCTCATATGTGTAAGTACATTTTTATACATTTTTTTACTTTTATTTTTTAAACTATAATTTTGCAACGTTTGCAGCAGTTCATTAAAAGCGTTTCATTAACTAGATTGAACATGAAGCACATTTTGTCAATGTTTTTGAAGTTTATTATTACATTAAATAATGCATTGATTAGCTGAATGTCTTTAATCTTATATTTTTTTTACAACATAAAACAAGCAAGGCGGCAGTTCCTTTGAAAGTAAAACAAAGAGCAATTCTGAGTTTAATTTTCAGTTCTGAGCCTTTACTTCAAAGCTAATTGTTGCTGTTTGCCTTTCTTGTTTAACAAAGTTGAAGCTGGGTGTTACGACAAACTGGAGGTGATGGCAGCATGTCTGCCCTGGTGCACAGGAACTACTTTGGCTCAAGAATACTGTAAGCAGGACATGCCCAAAGGGAATGAAGAGTTACATTTTTGTTGTGGCTTCATTTGCAGTAGTTTTATTTCATTTTATTTTTTCTATATTTTTGCCAAATTTTGCATGATTTTTGTTCTAATTAGTCCATCTTTTCTTTGCTTAGTCTCATTATTTCCTGGACCAGAAAAGCAGAATTTGCGTTCTTTTGCGTGTCTTAGAATATCTTTATTTGCATGGGCTACCTTGAAAGAATTGCTTATGACTATTAATAAAATATTTACTAATAAACTGATATTTTATTGATAAACCATTGAATCTATGGAGGAAATCATAAGATCTTAGACTGTTCCCATTGCATTTATTTGACTTGTGTCCGGTATAATTAAAAAGCAATTCATATTACGAAGACAAAAATATATCGGCATTTATTAGGGAGTAATTTTTTTAAGGGGATTGAAAAAAAAATTAATTATAGATACAAGACAAGTACAGTTATAGCAAACCATTACTGTATACGTATATAAAAGTGGGAAGGTGGAGAATTAATTACAGACGTAGTTATGTTAAAGTTTGTCAGTACAGTACTGTAATTAAATGATATACTGTACAGTATACGTAGTAAAATATTTCTTTATATGGATTTTATAAGTACGGTACTAAAGAAGGATAAATGAAGCTTGCAAGACTTAGGAATGAGCTAGTGATAAATATCATATGAGAATGGAGTGTATCAGTTGTAAATGTAAATGATTACATGTAAAAAATAAATATAGAGGTCTGCAACTAGTATATACTGTACAGTACTTTTATTGAGCACATTATTTAGCACTATTAATGTATTTGAGAAGAGAGGGGTTGGGGAAGGAATAAACAGAAGACATTAATAGGTTATGCAGTAGTGGATAACATTACATTACTGTATCAGGAAATAAAATAATGGATGTAAAAGGAAAAACTATTAGACTCAGGTCGCCACATTTCATTAGTAGATTTGAGGATAAGGACAAAGTGGGTATTGTAATCAAGAGAGGTTGATGAAAACTAGATAGTGGCAGTGTAGAGATTCAAGATGAGTCACCAGTATAAAAAAATAGATTGAGATACAATATTAACTTGAGGAGAAACAGTGTTGATTTCTTCTTCTTCTCTGAGAGCACAGTTGAGGCAGCAGGAGTTAAGAGTAAGAAAATAAAAACAAGTCCTTAAAGGTTATAGTTCACATTGTAAGTAATAAAGAAGGTAGTGAAGGTGGATGTGTATGAAATATTTACAGAAGAGTGAGCCCAGATATTCGAGATAAGGGGATGCACTTGTGTAGGAATTGTAACAAGAATAACAAAGCTAATAAGGATGGGTAAAGGTAGAATAGATGTGGATTTTGGAGTACAGTGGTCCCTTAGTTAACGAGTGCCTCGGTTAACGAGATTTCGGTTAATGAGTTACCTTCCATAAGATTCTTAACTTCGGTTAACGAGCAATCCCTTTATTAACGAGTTTCTTACGAGCCGACCTCAACATGTTTTTGCTTGCATTTGGCGGTCCACCAGCTGTAGTATTAGTCCGCCAATACAGTAATCGGTTCTAGGGCTTATATTCCTTACCATTTTAGCAAATATCAAAAAGTTTATGCTATTCAATAATTTTAAGTTTAATATTTAATTTTTTAGTCATTTTAAGAATTATTGAACATAATTGAAGGTAAATTCACTAGTTTTATGTGCACCAAACAGTCTGTCAACACACCATACATGCATCAGTCTTTGTGTCTTTTCAGTGGAGAGTGGAGGTAACATCTTGCTTGAGACTCTCTTCAACTTAATGCTTTTTTCTGTGTTTGCAAGCAAATTATTGGTCATTTTGAAATTTATTTTACATATTGACAATATATAATGCAGTGCAGTGTTGAGTTAAAGAAAATAATCTTGAATTACACCAAGAGAGCTAAAATTTTATGGGTGAAATGGCACCATGGGGTGACTTCTCTTCCACCCCAATGCCTTCTCTTCTCCCTTCTCCTCCACCCCCATTCTAATTCCCATCATTATCATCCAGGAGCCTTCTAAATACACACCTCAAAGTAAGTGTACTTTTCTACCTTTTTTGTTGAATTTAGGCAATTTTCGGTGAGCTGGAACCAATTACCCAAAAACCCATTGAAACAATGGTTTCGGTTAACGAGCAACCTTCTAGAACGGATTGTGCTCGTTAACCGAGGGACCACTGTACTGTAAATTAAATAGAAAGTGAATGAGTGTATGAAAAACTATACATAATCTTGGATAAAAATTTAGAAGTCTGTGTTGGTATAAAAATAAAGAGAAATTTGGAGGAGTCTTGTTTAAGATGAAGAAGTAAGAGAGCAATGAAAGGAATAGTGTTGTACTCATATTATCAGAAGATAAGAGGGCAGCTGTTATAGTGTGCTTGTAGGGGGGTAAGGTATAATTCAGTTTGGAAAGAGGGTTTGGTTGAATATTTATAGAGATGATGAAAGGTGGTGGTAACATAATCATATGATTGAGGCACAAATGTGTGTAAAAGGGGAAGTTATTAGAGAGAGCCTTTTAGTGAGTTTTAACTTGATGTACAGTCCCCTTCACTGGTGCGTTTACAGTGGCAGCCCTGTGTTTATTTACATTCGACAGAAGGAATCTCGCAATAGTAAACATACTGTGGAATCAAAGTAAAACAATATTAAAACAAGTATCTCAATGTAATGATTTGTGGAATGTTTATATGATGAGTCCCTGTAAACACACAAGTGAAGAGAACTGTACTTACTGTAGGCTTTCCCAGTCACATTCCTCATGAGCTTCATTATACATCCATCTCAGTGCACCTGGGATCCATAAGAGAACATGGGATTTATCAGATACAGTATATAATCTAAAGTTCAAAATATATATACTATATATATATATATATTATATATATATATATATATATATATATATATATATATATATATATATATATATATATATATATATATATATATATATATATATATATATATATATATATATATATATATATATATATATATATATATATATATATATATATATATATATATATATATATATATATATATATATATATATATATATATATATATATATATATATATATATATATATATATATATATATATATATATATATATATATATATATATATATACACACACACACACACACACACACACACACACACACAGATACCCCGCTTTACAGTTTCACTTGAAAAGTGAAACCCATGATTTCTACATTCTGTGATACCTTGCTTACATGTGGTAGTATAATTTATTTATTATTTTTTTTTGCTCATAAAATTCATATAAATTACTCTTAAGAATATAATTTACATTGCTGGAATTCTTACAATATGATGATCATTTGAATATAAACATCATGGATTTTGCATTAGACATACAAATTTTAGATCTAATGTAATAACTTGGTTTACACAAAGCAAATATTTTATCGTTTGTGCAAAATATGTGAAGTTTACATTCAAAATATCCCCTGACCTGCAAGGAATCTAGAAATCTCAATTATATTATCCTAACTTTAGTCTGGGTTATTATTTATTACTAAAAATGTAAATATACTATTTTCTCCCAATCCCTTCTCTGGTAGGGAGGGAGGGCGGAGGTGGGGTACAGTCGGCCCTTAACATACGCAGGGGTTACGTAACAGAGATACCCGTGGATGTTAAAAATCCGCGTATATGTGCTGCCCCCCCCCCCCCAAAAACCTGGTTCCCCCCATGTCCTTATTTACCGTATGTACCTGTGTGTAGTTCAAGTTTTTAAGACCAAATTATTTGGCAAAAAATTGGGGGTCGACCTCTAAACGGGTAATAGTTTCGTTAGGTTGAAAAATATTTACCAGTAACTACCAGTAAACAATGGAAATGACACACCACCAGCTGTGAGTGTCGGTACAGTTGCCAGGGCAGATCTCTTGCGTCATCATAGCAAGCCCAAAGTAGCCAAATGCATGGTATGGTATGCACAGGACGATGTAAAACATAAAGTATTCATTTTTTAAAGTTTATTTATAGATACTGTACATAAATTTTTGTTCATTACATTTGAAACATCAATCTTTGTTAATTAAATTTGAAACAAAAGAAAACTACGATACCGTATTTCTAAATACCTGGTATTTTCATTAAAATATTACATCACAAGTATATTTTACCTTAACTGTGACTGAATGAATATAGGTATTCTCAGAAATAAATATGGAAATATAATATTTTTGCTGGAAAGACGAAAACAATGACTTTCGCTTTCTTTCGTTATTCAGAACATTTTACCGTAATCGCTTTTCGAATGGTTTTCAGTTAAAAAACTGTTGTACTCGTACTGTATTACAATAATATTCTATCCTATCATTAGCCTTATAATCCCACAACTGAAAACCATTCGAAAAGCGATTACGGTAACATCTTTTGAACGAAAGAAAGAGAAAGTCATTGCTTTCGTCACAATTTTATCCCACTTTTCACTGTAATACGTACATCATTTCAGCAAAAATATTACATTTCCATGTTCTCAGAAATAAATGGTAGTTTTGTTGAAACGTAATGTACAATATTTAATATTAAAATGCAAAAATAGCTATAAAAACAATTAATACACCCGTAATGTACTGGCTGGCATCCCCACTCATCCCTACTCCTGCGTCCAAGGTCACCACTCCTCCCAACTCGCTCCCTCCGCTCCCTCCTCTGCCTCCTCCACCCCCTCTGCCTCCTCGTCGTCACTACTGCCGACAACGAACACAAATGTTTTGTGAATAATTGCACCTCCACTTCCTATGTACAGTACTGAACTGTACTGTGCTGTGCATTTTTACAAACAATAAACATGGCAAGAAATGCTATTAAAAAAAAAGAGATAAAAATTTCACTTTACTGGACAGTACCTATCCTCGGCGACAGGACGGGGGTCATCGGGCTCATCGGCACTCAATTCCATAACGGGTGGTGAAGTGGGGGCGACGG